TCGTTAAATTTGCATCGATTCAAAATCGAAATTAATTGCTTTAAAACTAAAAAAAAACGAAACAGATGGAAGCCAATGGTAATTTGAAGCTGGTTGTAAATTAAAACGATGCCGCCAAATGCACAGATAAATCGGCATAATTAATTAGACAATATTTATTGCTTCAATTTTAAATGCGCGCACTGTGTGTATGGCAACTAATATTGCAAATGCTGTCTGCAGCGAATAAACTCATTCCAAGCTGAACCGAGGGAATGTATGGTTTTTTATGTTCTGTGTGTATGTGTCGCATTGAATTTGTGCAATGTTTACTGTGCATGTAATAATAACTTAAACAGTCGACGGACGAAAATACATTCCAGTCTTGCCATCTTTTTTTTCTTTTCTCTTTCTTCTTGTTCTTTTTCTTATAGGGGTATGTGGCATTCGTGAAATTTGTTTTCTTTATACCTACGCAATTTTTTTCCATTTTCTGCGTTCTATTTTTCTCATTGTTTTTTGGGTCATTGCCACTGCTTTTGTTATTTATTTACCTAATTTAAATGTAACTATTTGAGCTCTTCTATTCTCAAGCTCTTTTCATTATGATTGTTTTCTCCTTACCTTTCTCTCTCTCTCGCTCTCGATCTCTGTGGCTCCCAGATGAAAGAAAAAAAAGTGAGAGAGAGAGAGTTATTCTTCTTGACAGAGCCGGTGATATTTTGAAATTACAAGTGATAGGCTAATGGAGAACACCCGATAGCGTTAGCAATTTTTCACAAGGTGTGCAGTTGCCTGTCCAACTACCAGCAACCGCACGCTTAAAACTTTCCGTACGATAAACGAAATAAGCCTCAGTCAAACCGTTGACAAATTATACTGATTATCATGATACAACAAGTTTTCCATGCAATTTTTTTTTACAAAAACCATACCAATTCAATAGGCATGATAATATAGCGAATAGAATGAAGCAACCGGTAATATGCTAACAACTATTTTTTTTGCAATATGTGTATAGTTATGTTCACCGTCTTTCATTGGTAGTATTTTAGTTGTGAGTTTTGTTTAGCCCGCAGTCACTATTTTTTTTCCACTCTATTGAACTAAATAACGTGTTGATTAGTGTTCTATTTTTGCTATTGTCGCAGGCGAAAGCTCCATGGTCATCGTATAATTTAAACTAAAATACAAATAGAACAGAGGAGGAAAAAGAAAGAAAGAAGAATGCAATAGAAAATATACTGCAACAGAAATTGACACACACAGTCATAAAGTGACAAACAAGAATGTAAGAAGAAGAAATAAAAAAAAATGGAAAAGAAGATCGTTGCCAAATGGTTGATGTTTATCCAAGTATCCACAAATGGATACGAGAATTCTTGCATATTCGTTTTTGTCCATATTTTCACACTTATCCCTATATATTTGTTATCGTCTATCTTACGATCTGCACGATTTGATTGTAGCTTTGTGACAAAGACCACGACAACGACGATGACGACTTTTCCCTAAATCGAAATATAAAGTGAGGAAAAATGGTTTTATTTGAGTGTTTCGCTTCTTGTTTGCACGTCTTCATTTTCATCAAAATGATTAAAACAACGAGCACGAGGATAGAAAGAGTCAATGAGAGTGAGTGAATGGTTCATTCAATGAAACCAGAGAGCGTGAGTGAGAACAATAATGTGGGTGTAAAACGAATGAAACTGAATTTATTGTGAAAATGAGAAAAAAAAAACTACAACAGCAAACGAATCAAAGAAGAAGAAAACACAAATAAGTTTTGCATTTCGTTTTCGTTTTTTTTTTTCACAGGCAAAAACCAAAAAGAGGGAAAATGCATCAATTAAGGTCATTACGTATTAAAATGAAAAACTTTCCACCGAACAATTACTTAGCATTCTTAATATCTGTTGATCTACATATATACAATAAATGTATATTTTCAATGAATATTGAAATTGACGATACCAGAATGCACCACAAAATGCAACGAAACTTGAACAACTCTTGTGAAAATGATACGAAAACTTTTTATCGAATTCAATGATATTGATGTGCATTCAACGCAAAACTTATCAATAAAAATTAACATTTATCGACATAGAAATGTACAACGATTTTTTTCCTTGCATCGTTTGTTTACACAATGGAACCATAAAAAGAGCGAAAAATTGGAAGAAAAAAAAGAATCAAGTATTCAATCTTCACAAAGTCAGTGTTGCAAAAGAGAAATAAATAATATTGATGACATTGAATGACACAAAATGTAGAAAAAATTGGTTGAAGATAAAGTGAAGTTGGAGTTAAATTAAAAGTTTGCATCAATTACTCATACACGCTCATATGTATACATATACAGATGCAAATGGCTAAGGAGTTCGTGTTTCACAGGAGGTAAATCGCATGGAATTTGAAGTAGTAAAGTTAACCTAAGTAAATGGGTTTAAGTATATGTGACCTTTTTTTCGCAATATGATTGAATTGCGAAACACACAAAGCGAAAGATACACATGTGCACACGAAACGATGTCGACGTGACAATAGAAACGTTCACAGCGGCAACCAATATCACCCCTGACACCCGACATTTTGCTCCGTTTGCTAATTTGACAGCAACCAACGAATATTGACAATTAATTGACTTCGTTTTAACGAAAAATTACGTCAAAGGGCATACAAGCAACCACACATTCAACCAATGCCATAAAACTATGTGCATTTTCATTTGGTGTGATATGCCATGGTGGTTGCTAACCAAATGTTTTTTTCTTTCAATTCCTTCGTTAAAATTAACAATATGTTTTGCATTTGATTTCATAAAACCGTACAAACATTTTCATGTAGAAATCGGAAATATTTACGAAAAATGCTTATTCTGATCAATTTGTTTTGTTGAACAAAACTGTTATTTGTTCGGAAAAGATAACTTTGCGGATGAAAGATCGAGATAATTTGCTTTTTATTCCAATTTGTCGGCTCGAAGACAATGTGAATTCATATTGTATTATTACTAATGGAATTATAATCGATATAGTACCAAACACAGAAAACTGACCGTAGTAAAGCATACTTTTGCTGCTTTCAACCTCTTTCAATTTTGATTGTAATTCAACTTGTCCTTGTCTCAAGGGCATTGAATTTTCTTTTCAAATTTTTTATCTTCATAAATTAGGCAAGATAGCGTCCGAATTTTAATGGGTCATTTGATGGATGCACTGTGATTGCGAATGAAAAGAAAATGAAATAATGAACGGAAGACATGAAAAATGTTCAAGACTTTGAATGCTCACTTCGTAAATGAGCTGCGGCTGAAAATTGAAAATATGGAATTTGGGCGACAGCATGATTGAAATACCAAAAAAGGCATAGCTCCAAAAAAGGCTGCGCTACAACGAATTGAAAGTAAAGGAATAGTCTATAAATGCAATTTAAATATCACCTGTTGCCCTGATCAGCTTAATGAAAACTGTCGACATTCGCATTAATCACTAGCTTGCAACCAAGAAATGAACTACTTACGGCCTCGCGGTAAGGTGAGAATATAAAAAATGACAACATTGACATTGGCACAATGACTATCTCATTTAAAGGTGATATATTATGTATAACGACACACAGATATTTGTTTTCGTACCAATTGTCGCATATCACTCAAGTTATTCTATAGCAAAGTTCAGCTACTAAGTGTTTTAAAGAATTTGATATTCTTAAATATTGCTTGACACAAAAAATCATAGTATGCGCCAGCGCATTTCAAATTCCAACATTTTTTAATTGACGGTTTGAAAAAATATTTCTGAAATGTAATAATCTTCGGCCCGAGAAGCAAATGACAAGCTTTCAAAGCTTGATCGGAAATTATGTGTATTTTGTACGGCTTCGTTTGAAAAGTTCATCAGATAAATGTCCATTTTAATCCATATTTGGTCCAAAGAATAAGTTATTTTTCTAATCGAAGCTAAGCAAAAATTTCGACTCAATAAAATGAAATAAATATATCTGTAATAAACTTGAAAATTGTGTCAAATTTAGACACAAAAAAAGGAAACCATTTGGTAGTTTTTATCTTGAATTTTAATCAAGCAATTTATCTAATTGTCTATTGTTTCTTAATCAACAATTTTGATTAGGTTTTTCATTTTTTGCAAATAAAATTTTATACATTTCATTTGATATTGGCGAATTAGTTTATTTGCCAATATCATATGAAAATCATGTTGAAAACTGTCTAACTTGAATGTTGTCCATAAGTTTAAGTAAATAAAGCATCCATATCAATGAGATACCAAATTGAACTGAAGACTCATTTGCAAACATGGGTGGTGTTATGAGTTGAATTATTGATAAGCATTTGGCAGTTTTCTACGTATGCGAATGTGTTGGCTGTAGGGTGCATTTCGGATCGAAGACATTCAAAGACATTTATACTAAGAAATCGGTTTAATTACGAAAATAGATAAAGTATGGATTTGCTGCGAGCGATCAAACAGTGACTATAATTTGGTCCCATTTGGAAAGAGCATTCGAGCTGAATGAAACTATGCACGATGTATTCGATACAAATACGAAGGGTAAGAGTGGATTTCTGGATAAGTGATATATACAATATATATAACCATCGGTTCAAGATAACGAAAGTCGCCGACACAACTGTTGAAAGACACATACACACATCGAGAGTATTTAAAAAGCCAAAACAAAACGTGTCTATGGTTATATGAAGATACAACTTGTCGTCTTTGATATAATATCACGTACATAAATTGAATTGTGTTTCTTTTCTAGAATATTCGTAATTTAGAGGAATATATCTGTATTTTTCATTTTTTTTAGACACACATTATGCAATTGTGGCTGCCTAAAATTGAACGAAATCAACGAAAGAACTTCGCTTTTAAAATGCAATGACGATGTGCGATAATTAGTTGATTCTATCAATCGGTATCACTTCAATATGCATATTGGAACAAGTGGTAATTCATTTAAATGAAATAAAAGGTGTTGATTGTACTTACGAAATTGTTATTGTGTCCCTCCTCTATCACAGACTCATTAAATTGTCGTTCATGTTTGTTGGCTACTACCGTTTCACTGTTGCTGCCATTATCGAGTTTTGATTTTCGTAGCACATGATGTCCGCATGATCGAACTGACACCAAAGGCTTGTTGGTCGTTTTTGGTTCCTGATGGTCGGCATGACAACCACCGACACTGCCGGCATCACTAGAAGTTGGCTTAATATTTGCATTAGCTGGACATCGATTTGGATTTGCCGTTGTATATTGAGGTGCTGTGTAGGTTGCATACGGTGCACTTGCATAATTATTGTACAGATTTATGTTACTGTTTTCAAAATTACTGCACGCATTTTGGCCAATGGAAAAAAAATGTAGAAAAAAATAAAGACATTTAATTAAATCATTGATTCATCGCATACAATTAATTTTCATTTAAAAAAAATATCTTATGATGTATGATACATTTTTTGTTGCTTTGCTTATGTTGTTACGTGTTTTAAAATCGTTTTCTGTTTCAATTGAATTCTTAAATATTCAAGGGTGAACACGATATTGTGAGCAAATGAAAAGTGATTGGGTTGAAAATATCGAAAATTAAATTGATGGTCATGTTTGTATAAACCACAAATCATCTTTGTTCGAATTGCGGTCGATTCGAGAACAAAAAAACGTACAGCCACTTGAGTAAATAGAACTATGACCCAGATATTTTTCAAAATCACTTTAAACTGATCACGTATCCTTCTTGTTTTCTTCTGTTCTCGTCGTTTTCGATTTTCCGACAAAATGATATACGGCCAATTTTTTTCACAAATGCACACACAATCACCGAATTTCGATTTGTGGTCGATTTTGCTCAAATTATTTAAGCAATCAGCCAATGGTGTGATTTGTACCATTTTGAAGCATACGAATTACTTTTTTATGTCAATGTTTTCCAATGGTTTTTTTTCTGGCAAAATTTCTCTTCTATGTACTGTTCTTTTCTCAACCCCCGACTAGTCGACCAACAATAAATAATAAGTCTCGATCTTGGTAAATGGGATCTTTTTCTCTTGCTGCCAACCACAATGAATTATGTTTGTGGGATTGTTTTTTTTTAAACTTTATATTCTCCGTTCGTGTCTTTCTCCATTTTTCAATCGCTTTCGCTGTCTCGTTTTGCCGTATTTATATAGTTCGATTTGAAAACATGTTATGTTATGTGAAATTCCATTTCGTTTGACAAACACAATGCTTAGTTGCACATCGCCTTTTCGTTTGATACACACATTTGTGTAAATACCTTGATTTATAATTGACCTTATTATGGTGTACAATATAAAAATGTGAATTTTTATGTTGAAGTGAATGATCGGCGAATATTTATTACAAAATATAATTGGGTTTGAAGACGCGGAAAAAAGGTGCAAAGAAACGAGAGAGATCTACTTACCTGGATGGTTCGGAGCGTTGATTCTCGTTGCGTCGGACAAAAAGAAAGGACGAAGCTCTATCTCTACAGGCTTGTGTGGCCGAGACCATCATCCGAGGCCACATTGCGTATCATTGCACAGGGAAATCCGAGTCATAAAATCAATTGAACACACGATAACCAACTGCAAATGGACGAAAAAACAAACAAACAAACATGAACAAACAATTTTAAAATTGGATATACATGCGCGCACAAAACAAACTGAAGTGATGCTAAAATTGTAAGCACACTTTACTTTGTGACTTTTTAAATTTTTTAGAAACACCTGATGTGCTCAACCTAATGCTAGATACTGAAAATGTAACAGAGTCGACAGTAAAAAAAAATTGCATACAATAATTTTGATTATACTAATTATTCTATTTCGAGGGTGATAGAGAGAGAAAGAAAAATCGCATCATGCTATCATTATGGCTGTTGTCAGTGGTGAGTAGTGTGCATCAATTGAAAGGTGCACACTGTGCGATAAGTACAAATAGACATTCGGCCAAAGGTCGAATCAAAATTGTTTTTTAACAAACAATATGTTATTCACATTAGGAAGTTTGAACAGAGTTTTATACTGCTAACTTTTACTTCTCCCTTCCCCTCTCTTTCTTTCTCTCTCTCTCTTTCTATCTCTCTCTCCATATGCCAGCGTATTAATTCTGTTGACTTACAATATCTGACTAAACAAAAAAGCTCGGTAGTCCGCAAACAATAGCCGTATTACACGTTGTACATAAACAATAGCGAAAATTCATAATTTTGCACAAATAAATTCAGGTCAATGAAAGCATCGACGTCACAGTATTATATGCAAAACAAGACTGTCGAACCGAATATGAAAGAGAAATGATGGTTTGAATTTTGGCAAAATCCGACTATTATTAATTTTTCTTTCAGTCGTATTGAATATATCCCGTGATCACGTTTGCATTTTTCTCTTTTCACTTTTGCTCGTATAGTTTTAATTCAATTTACTTTAGGCTCAACCGACAATGTCCTCCATTGGTATGTCAGAAATTGATAACTATCTTTTATAATATAGATTTTTATGCAGCAAGCAATTATACAACACCATTGGCTCTGCATGAATTATAAACAATATTCGACCACATGGCGCATAAATGCGGGCGTAAAATTAACGCACGTACGATTATTTTGTTCGTTCCATTTTTTTTCTTTTGATTTTGTATAGCTCATTTTATGGCGCTTTTTTGTAAGAATATTCATTTATTCGATTTTTTACAAAGTTATTACCTTGCTTTTATTTACATTTTAATTGAATGCGTACATTTTGGCGTGTTTTCATTCTCAATTATGTCATGATTCGATCTCTTTTTATGCAAAAAAAATACGTTTAATTGAAAACTACAAAAAATGCTTGTCACTCAAAATTGTGCTGTATAAAGAAGATTTTGTTTCTCAGTTTGCAATAAATTGCAAAAAAAAAAATTTGAGAAATCACTGAACAAAGAGTGAGAAAAACCGAAGAATAAACGAAGATCGAAAGAAAGAAGAAAAGAAAAAAAGAACCACCACCAGTGATCGAATTCATTTATTGAGTGCAACGCATATAATTGGCAATGCTCATAGTTATTCGATATAATGAATATGCTCCACTTTCAGCCAATGCTATCGTGATGCAAATCACGAGAAAATTGCACGAATCTTTATTTTGCTTGCCCCATTGACACAGAAAAAGACACCACAACAACATTGAAATTATACTCCCTGAAGATATCTGCATATATTTTAAGAAGTGCATAACATATCAAATTTATTTTCTCAAACGCAAGCAATATGATATCATTTTCCATAAAATTGACATGAAAAAAAGGAGAAAATGGTTCGATAAAACGGCAAATGGAAGCAACAAAAAATGTCTGTTGTTTTTTTTTTTGTAAATGAACCTATATTTCTTATATTTAACGTGATAATAGAAATGGCATCGCAGACGAATTCATTGAAGTAAGAGCCGTTAGCATCGCGTGTATATCATGGCAATGAAGAAAAATCGTCTGCTTGGAGCACAATTGAAGGTATCATTATTCTTATATGTTTGAGTGGTGTTGTTGTTCATTTTTTTCATCTCTTGCTTCCATTTCGGTTTGCCTTGATTTCATATCAAACCAGCTTAAATATAAAAATCGCGCGGAACCATTCCGGACATGCTGGATTTTCCATCTGAAAAATGATATTTCTTATTTTCCATGTTGCAATTCGATGATTCATTTAACTAGGGCCCATTGTGTACAATCAATACAACAATACAATTAAAAATAAAATTAATACAATAATACATACAATTTTATACAGAACATTCACATCTTATTCATCATATATAAACGGTGAATAAGACATTCTGTAAAAATTATATACACAGAATCAAAGAAAGTGCTCACAAAAAAATTCTGTAAAAATTATAAACACAGAATCAAAGAAAGTGCTCACAAAAAAGAATGAAAAAAAAAAACAGACGAAATTTACACGAAATATAAACATATATTTGTGCGTATTCCAGATTTTTTTTGGCATTGTGTTTCTCTTTGCAGTACAATAATAAATAAATAATAGCCCCTAGTAATTTGATGTATGCGCTCTATTTCAGTGTCTCTTTTTTGTTGAATAAAAAAAAACCATATTGAATGCGTTGATTAATTTTGTTTCGAATTTTTGATTTTCACTTGACTGCATCACGTGTCGCATGTCTAGCGATTTAAAATCGACTGGTTCGAAAATTCGTTCAGAAATACGATAAAGTCCATTGCGAGCTTGTTTCTCTTCTCCTCGAAGGGATAATGGCTAGGGAGTTTCGACTTATACGAATGTTCCATATGCGAGAGAATTTTTCATATATATTTTGCAAATGGATACGAATGGTCGCGAATGTTTCATACACATTTTGCGGATGGCGCATATGAAAAGTCATATTTTTACATTCAAAAAGTCAAAGTGACAGATTAGGTGACAGAGATTCAAGCCGAATTGATATTTTTTTAGTAATATTGAGTGAAATTTTTCTAAAATGGTAAATAAATCTTTGCCACTCGTTAATATAATCACTGTAAACGGTGCCTTGTGAAAGGTTTTTTTTTCGTTGACGTAACTTTCAAATTCTCTTATATAATATCTGAATTTATTTCTAAAATCTCACTTTTCGAATCGAATACGTCTTCTAAAATGATATTCAACAAATAAACTTGTATTTTTTTCTTCAACTGTTTTTCAAATTTAGTTGAGAACAATGACATTGTGTTTGAAACTGCCACGACAAACTGAACACAGCAATTTGTATGTACAAATGTCACACGACAGTTTGTCGCATCTAGCAAGACGTATGCGGCATTCGCGAATGGTTGCGAATGAAATGGACGAATTTTCATAGATGTTGATGCGGATGAATATACTTTACTTCGTATATTTCATGTATGAATAGGAAAACGTTCATATATTCCATATAAAATGGCATTCGCATATAGTAAAATGCCCCTAGGATAATGGTCATTCAATTACATTCACAGTATTTTTACAACCGTCTTGAAATAATAATAATAATATATTAATGTGTCATAAACGAACTTGAGCAACAGACACCATAAACGTGAATAACGACGATGACTACGACAATGACGATAGATACTATAACGAAAATATCAAAACGACCGTCAGATCCATCAAATGCTTGATACATCGACAAAGATGCGATAATTGGTAACCCGGTTTCGAGCTTTTCTCCCCCCTTCTTTGGTGTATTTCCTATTATTGGCTAACAACAGTACGGTATTAAAATGATGAAAGGCTAGAAAGTTTGGACCGTAACGTGATCGCAATTAAAATGTGATTCATTCTCATCGTCGATGGGAATTGATTTTAGTGTTTTATGAATGAAAATATTCAAGAAAACTTTTGTCAACCCAAAACCGAAACATATATAAATCATGTCTCTCATGAGTTTTGCTCATAACATTTTGAACCAAAAAAAAAAAAACATTTTCATGAATATTCAATATGCATACTTTATGGAGGTGGAGTAAATTTTTATGTGTCGTCACCGGTTGTCGGTTTTGCTTGATACCACTGTTGTTCAATCAATTCTAATTTACATTTAAATCGATTATTTTTTGCACCAAGGATTTTTTTTCCGCGTGTGCAAAATTCTGTGAAACAAATCAAATTTCCAGTTGAAAATATTGCGAATAGTTGGTAACGAGCCTTTGTGTGTGTCAAAAAGCTTTTTGACAGATTCAACGAAATTAAAAAAAATATTTCGACACATTAAAAGAGATTTATTTTGCCATCGTTTTTATTTCATTTCAATTAAAATGTTTTAGAAAATTAACGCATTCAAATTGTTTGAGACGTCAACTGAACGATGATCACTGGGATTTTCTTTGCTAATACCGTATCGTTGTTAAATTGTATTTATTACATTCATGTATGGCGTGGGAGGGTTGGTGATTCTTTTTCGAAAATAGGAGAAGTTTTGTTTGGACTTGAATTTCGTTAAGCATCTTTGACATTATGATGGCCGAAGAAATTGTGAGATTCATTCAAGCATATTTCAAAGAAATTTGACAATGCACAAAATTGACAGTATTTAAATGGTTATTTTAGAACGAACGAGCAATTTTGCGCCTTATTAGATTTGAAAATTCGAAATAAAACGAGAAAATGACGACGATGGTGATAATAAATAAATTAAAATGTGAATTCAAGAATATAAACATTGACAACAGGACCATTATAAGAGAAATGAATTGATGGGGGCAATAGCTTGTCAAACAGAAAAAAAAAACAACAGAAATCGAAATGAAAAAAAATCGTAGTAAATAATGAGCGCGTGAAATTATTGTGGCGTGGCGCAAATATTACGACCACGCTAGGGGAGAGAAACCAATGCTAGTTTTTCTAGTTTATAGCTAATTTACTAGTTTTTGACTAATTTATTAGTTTTATTGCTTGAATAATCTAATAATGCTAATATTCCTTTATGAAATTGCTAGTTTTCTAGTTTTTTGTACTGTCAAATGACAATCGAATGATTGAACTGACACAATGAAGTATTTTGACGTTTTGTTATTCAGACATATTTTTATGTGTTTTGAATAATTATACACTTATAATAGTGAAAATTAGTTTAATTATTCTTTTTTTAACACAAAATAGTGCATAAAGTACTTGTTTCTTTCAATAGTCGACTTGTAAAATTGATTTAGTCACCAAATCATGGCACAATATCAAAATGGCGGATCAAATAATTT